TTTCCCTAGTGCCCTTTTTACCACAGACATACCTACGGAAGCTTTTCATGTTGCCCTTGATGTCCCTGGCCAGATTTAACTCTATCATGGCTTTAGCTTTCCTAACCTGATCTCTGGTTGCTCGGACAATCTCTTTGTGTTCTTCCCACGCTACCTGTCCCTGCTTCCACCCTCTGTAGGCCTTTTTGTGTCCGTGTTGGTCCAGGAGCTCCTTGTTCATCCATGCAGGCCTCCTGGTGTTCCTACCTGACTTTTTCTTTGTTGGGATGCACCGCTCCTGAGCTTGGAGGAGGTGATCCTTGAATATTAACCATCTTTCTTGTGCCCCTCTTCCCTCCAGGGCTTCATCCCATTGTACTCTACCAATGAGATCCCTGAAGAGGCCGAAGTCTGCTCTTCTGAAATCCCGGGTAGTGAGCTTGCTGAGCACCCTCCTTGCTTCCCTAAGAATCTTGAATTCCACCATTTCATGATCACTGCATCCAAGGCTGCCCTTGAGCATCACGTTCCTCACCAGCCCTTCTTTGTTGGTGAGAACAAGGTCCACCAAAGCACCTCTCCTCGTTGGTTCCTCTACAACTTGGAGAAGGAATTTATCATCAATGCATTCTGGGAACCTCCTGGATTGCCTATGCCCTGCTATGCTGTCCCTCCAACAGATATCAGGGTGGTTGAAGTCCCCCATGAGGACCAGGGCTTGTGAACGTAAGGCTGCTCCTATCTGTCTGTAGAGGGCGTCATCCAGTCGGCCCTCCTGGTCAAGCGGTCTGTAGCAGATCTCCACTACTATGTCCCCTGTCCCTGCCCTCCCTTTAATCCTGACCCATAAGCTCTCAGTTGGCTCCTCATCCGTCCCCATGTGCAGCTCCATGCACTCCAGCTGGTCTTTGACATAGAGGGCAACCCCTCCTCCTCTTCTCCCCTGCCTATCCTTCCTAAAGAGCCTGTATCCTTCCATTCTGACACTCCAGTCATAGGATTCATCTCACCATGTCTCCATGATGCCAATAAGATTGTATTCCAACAGGTGTGCACACACTTCCAACTCCTCTTGCTTTTTCCCCATGCTGTGTGCATTAGTGTAGAGGCATTTAAGTTGGGCCCCAGATGAATCTGACTTCCTCACTGGAGTGGCTGGAATTCCTTTGTGCTGCTCTTCAGGTGCTTCCAGCATATCTTTATCAATGTTGATATTGCCCCCCTCCCCCTTCGAATATAGTTTAAAGCCCTTTCAATGAGCCCTGCTAGCTGTTGTTCTAAGACCCTTGTTCCCCTCTGAGAAAGGCAAGTCCCATCTGGTGCCAGTAAGCCTGGTGCCATGTGGCCCATCCCATTGTCGAGAAAGCCAAAATTGTGCTGAATACACCAGCCACTGAGCCACATATTTAGCGACTGGATGCATCTGCTTCTTCCAGTGTCACTGCTTGCAACTGGAAGGATAGAAGAAAAGATAACCTGTGCCCCGGATCCTCTTACCAGCTTTCCCAGGGCCCTGAAGTCTCTCTTGATTGACTTTGGACTTTGTGTTTCAGCTTCATCACCTCCCACGTGGAAGAGCAATAATGGGTAGTAAGAGCAATAACAGGTAGTAAGAGCAATAATGGGTAGTAAATCTGACAGTGTAGTTGAACTCAGAGTGCAACATATAGGATTCACATGAAATAACTTATATATTTTTAGGTTCAAGAATACTCACATCGTATAATCCACCATCTGCACCATTCTTATGTACTGACAAGAAAACACATACTTCGTTTGGCTGATTTTAATAAGCTCGCTTCTAACACAGTGCTCCTGCAATAACACAATCAACATTCACCTAATTTAAATCTAAATCTCAGAAACAATGAAGTTACAATGAAGATACATATGTATAAAAAGTCGACTTTTAATGTAACTGTAATCAGCTTCTAAATAATGAAGATAAAAGTTTCAAGTACAAAGTACATTTTCTTAATATGCACTATGAAAAATGCAGTAAAATTATCATAATGGCTTACAAACAAACATAATGAAATGAACTGAAGACTATACCAACCATGATAAAACTCCCTATGCTTCTCATTTTAGCAGCATAGAGTTAACCATAGCCACCAAATGGATTACAGAGGAAAGAACAGAGTATGATTTAAGAATAAATTATCCTACACGATTTCTTGGTTCATGTCTATTACATGAGCTCTTCATGGAGCCCTGAAATCTGATTTACTTCAGTTAGCTGGAGACAGGGATTGGGACAGTGACCTCATTAGCCTGGAAAACTGTATCTGCTTCATCAAAAATAGAACTATAGTAATACCACTTCCAAATTGGTATCATCTAGGTTTACTTACTTTCCTATTGTTGAACATCAGAACTGTGTAGAGTTTGTCACCCGTTTGCGCCCTCTGTGGTGTTGCTATGACAATGGCAGGTGCATAATATTCGTTTGCTGTCTGTGTCCCAGTTCTGGCAAACACATGGTCTCCAGCCTGCACACCAGGAAAGCATTGGTTTGCAAGAACCACATAACTTGTGAGTTTTAAAAGACATAAAATGTAAATATTAGGATATTTTTACATGAATTATCATTCTAACATGTTCCCATGCTTTAATATGGATCTTCAAACGAAAAAAAGAACTGGCTCCTTGTATGTACCAGTCATTCACAATTTCTACTGAATCAGGGTGAGAACACGAAGCAAAGAAAGGACAGAGCCTTACTAAATGTACTAAGGCTCAACTAGCGAGTCAAACAGAAGAAGAAAACTCTTACAACTCTTCATCCCCTTGAACTTTGTGCAAATTTATACATATTTAGCAAGCTTTTAAACCAACCTTGGGAATTTTAAAGAATTCCATACATAACTGACTTAAATAAAATAATTTTAAAATTTTCTATCAAATTCTGCAGATCTTCTCTAGAATTGTATACTACTCTCACAGAATATCAGGAACTGCCTGATCAGGACTTGCTTTCATTTCAAAGGGAAAAAAAGGCATGTCTCTAGTTTGAAGTGTAACAAAACAGTTATAAAAATGCTTTTTGTATTCAAAACAGCTGTATCAATTCTGTATCCTTTCTGTATCCGTCATCATTCTCATGTGTAAAATAAGAATCACCTGAAAAAACAACTGCGATTACAGATAGTCAGCTGATAAATTTTAAATAAACCCAGAAATGGAATAAGAATTTTTTTTTCCATTAGTTATTTGCCTTAGTATAAGGTCATCTGCTGCATTTAAAATATGCTGTGAAAAACAAATGGTTATAATCTGCTGTACATGACATTGTGTATAAAAGGCTCTCCTTGATTCATAATCTATGTGCTAGAAAACGATCATTCTGCTGATAAATAGCTCACTTTTCTTCTATAGGTGGCCAAATATTCATGTTTTATAAAGAAAATAATATCGACTTCTAATAAACAAAGGACTAGGATAGAATGAAAAGAAACTCTAAACAAATGAGAAATACCATGTTGAAAATAGCATTATATTACTATCAATAAAAACTCTCTTTAAAATAGATGTATTTAAAAGATTAAAAAAAATCTATTCTCTATTCTATGTGTGATCAAATGGAAAAAAAAATAGTTTTCATATTTGCTGTCATTAAAAAATACAATTTTTCACCTGCAGAAGTGGGCATGGCATTGCACCTCCCACAGGTAGAGTGAACTTCACAGGTACAGTCCAGGTCTCCCCATTGCTGAAGTCAACTACTGCACAGGTAGAACTGATATTCTTTATCACAGTTCCTAAAAAACAACATCATAAAATATGCAAAGGATTTTTCTTTTCCTTCTTGTGGATTTTTTTTTTTTTAAATCCTGTAGGCTGTCACACATCACTGAAGCCAAACGTGTCTAACTATACATTCTTCATTTTCATTTAGCTAGGCTAAGCTGTGCTAAGGCAATGGAGAAATTTGTACGTAAAAAAAAATACGGTCTTAGTAACCATTCTTAATAGTGCCATCAAAAGAAAATGAAGAATAATTTTCAAATTAGGTCTCAAATTTGTAAACTGATCAGGTGGATGATTGTTGACACAATGAAACTATTACCACAGTTAAAAATATGTAATTTAAAAACCCAAACAAGTAAAGGTAAGACAATAATAAACACATACATGATTTTTTTTTATGAAACAACGGAACACAATTCTACCTACTAATCATTCTGGCTCAAAACTCAAAAAAAAAAAGGCAGAAGCATTTAGTAAAGCTTTTAAACATATGCAAAAGCTCGTCTTCTCTCAAAAGCTCAACAGAAACATTCAAGGGAGACATCTAAGAGGAATAGGTTGATGCTCCCAGATACTCAGTTATTTAAAACTATTTCCTTCCATATTCTTCCTATACAAACGTTCCATTGCATTATCACTTTATAAAATGTATATCTTTTCATAAATGTATACATGTGCACACACAAAAGATATATTTTCATTTTTCATTAATATGCACGTATATCAAATCTCATTACAGTAGAAGTAGCTAATTATGACTGAAATTAATATTTTATCAGTATTAAAAAAATCTAAAAAATATTTAAAATGTGGAAAAAAATATATACCTGGATAATAAAATCCTGTGATGTCTGATCTTGCAATCACCTTTTGCCTTTTGTGAGTCCCTTTCGTGAGGCCTTTTTGTCTTTTTTTAGACTTTGACTTCCCAATTTCTTCTTCAAGTCTCTGAAATTTGATACAGTTATTTTTTCAACAACAACTAAGCCAGTCAGCCTTAATCTATCTTTAGAATTAATTAAAAATTTAGGCAATGTAATGTTATGACCTCTGCAGATAATTCACGGTAAACTGGAATTATTTTAAACATTCAAAATAGTTACGAACAGAGGAACGGATATTACAGGAAGCACTCATGGATAATAAGATCATGTGAGAGTTTTCATTACAAAATGCTGTTCTACATGGTCATAATAATACCTATCTTTTCAAGTGTTCAGGCAGAAATTTACCTTGATGAATTATGGCTCTGGCTGCCATTTTCCTAGAAAAAAATTTACGAAGTTGTGTAATTTGTATTCAAGGATGAGGTAAGGAAAAATCAACTGACTTTGCAGAATAAGCGAAGATGCTCTACACATTCATTTTGTCCAGATAGGTGGGTCTTCAAAATAGTCTTATTTTCATTAAAAGCACCTCACTGTACGGAATGACTGATTTAAAAAATCAGATACAGAACCAAAAAGTTTGCAAAAAAACCCTTGAATTGTCTAGAAAAAAAAATGTTTATTTACAAATTGTAAATTAAAATTTAAAATATTCAGCAGTTTTACAACATTCCAGCTTAGGAAAGTATTAAACCACATTTTCCAGAGTTGCCACTGTCCATCATTCTGCCCTGCTAGTTTGGATTCTTCATACGCTAATTCTCCACTTTGGAGGGTAACTCCCCAGACTACAGCTCTTGTAACGTGCCACAGCCACACAGAACACAGGAGCTTACTGTTGAATTGCTCATAAATAAGTCCGGGAGACCATGCACTGGACAGTGAGAACTGAAATACCAACGGGACTGGCTGTATGTAGACTAACTCAACTCCTAGTTGAAATTAGTGGCTGCAATTAGTGGTAACTGAATTAACAATGCAAAAAGCACGATGGATCTCACACAACAACTGAGGCAGGGAGCTGTGGGAGACGCAGTATGTGAAAAATAGTCAAATACTTACGAATCACAAGTGGTTCTATGTAAAAATACACTGTTGGGCTTTCCAAGCTTCTGCGTGCTTGACTTTACAGTCATCATAATCTTTTACCTTAAAGCCTTTGATAGCTCACATTAAAATTTTACAGAGTCTCAGTGTTATTTGCCTTTAAAGTAAATCATGTTCCTGAATCACTTTTTCTTCTAGAAGAATTTCTTCCCATTCAGGGCATCTCTCTTAAAGGAAGTTTTGGGAGGACCGGGGTATTACGTGTATATGTCAGAATGTGAAAGAACACTTCGTATTCTGCTTTTCTAAGAAAATTAAAAAAACTGATGATATAAAAACATTTTCTTTCTAATAATAAAAAGTCTATAATCCCAGTATTTTTATAAGTACATTTTAATAACTCTTTAGAATAACAATGTAATTTATATTTACTACAACAAAAGCAAATAAATTCTTGGAAAAGGCCATTGTTTTCTCCATACCGCTCTCAATAATGTTTCTAAATATAAATTGTATGCATGCAAAGTTAAATAAATCATTGTTTCCTCATTGATTTTTAAAACACATATTTATTTGCCTACCTCGTAAACAATTTGCAAGTTCCTTTGAATCACAAAAACATACAGTTTGGAATCTCAAACTTTGCCACATATCTGCACCCTGTTCTGAAAAACAATCATAACTCACAGGCTTCAAAAACTTGAAGGGTGTGTATGGCTTGCTAGGGTGTGTGTGATCTGCTTCCTTGTCTGATGACATTTTTCTTCCTAAAAAGATATATTAGATTTTGATACTCTATTTTCCCTAACAGGCAATAATGTGGGAAAAGATGGGAATAACTTTGACTAAATTGTTTGTTCTCAGTTTCACTATAACTATCACAAACTCTTTTTCCAATCTCCCACCCAAAAATCACAAACAACCCTAAAAAAGAAGTCCTAAAAATAAGCCAAGCACACATACAAAAAAGCAAAGGGATATTTTAAATGGGAGATGTGTGTTTTTTCTAGTTTATTCTTTACCCCTATAGAATATAAATTATATCAACACTTCTGTTTTTCAGACACAGTCTAAACCAGAGGTTCATCACACGGCTTAACTGAATGCTTGAAGTACAACCTAACAAAGGCTGATTTGAGTCCAAAGACTTACAGCTCCACAGACACAAAAAGGTATTTGGGTAAACCATTCACTTCATTCCTCAGGCTCCAAAGGGACAGCTGCTGCTGAATATTTATTATCAACTAATTTGTAATGCTTGAGTAATTACTTGGGTAACTTCCAGCACTCCGCATTAATCCAAATACTAAAGACTGCACAGCCATTCAAACGAGGACACCGAACCCTGCAAAATTCAGGTGGCTCAGAAATACTTTCTAAATTCAAATTCGTCTCCTCTACCTTCCCTACAGCTTTTCGATGTTCAGCACGACTGACCCAGCCACTGTCAGAGCACTCATTTCTGGGATATCGCTCTCCAGTGTTTTTATTACAAAAGAGCCCCGTCTGATTCTCAGGGATTTTCACCCTGTTTAGCTCTGCTTCTGTTGAAGGCAATGCATCAAACCACATGCGGTAAAGGAGACTTTGTTTCCCCCTGACAATACCTGCTGCATTTGAAAATCTCCTCTCGATTATTTTTTGCACTTTCCTACTGCAAGTGAGAATAGATTGCAAGACTATCCACAGATCTCCACGTATCTTGGCTCTTCGTGTATCTTTGGCTTTTCTCAATCCTGACACCTCCAGAGCCAAGCAGCCACTGCTTTTCCCAGGCTGTCAGTGGCAACAAGCCCAATCTGTGTAGACCACAGTCCATTTTTATGAAAAAGTCTAACTTTTTTTTTAGCTACATGCTCTCTGTCCAGCAGCTTACTTCGCTGATGACAAAGGAGAATTTGACCAAACGTTTCTAGGTAGTTTCAACTTCCTCGTTGTTGTTTTTACTTTACGCTATTAGGGATGTTTGTTTTCCCTTGTCTCCCTAAAGGGACACAACAACAAAGACAAGGTTTTGCCGAGCTGTTTAGGAAACATATGAATGCAGAAAAGGTATCAACAGACAGCAATTAGTGATCCTTAAACAGTGAGGAAGAATGAGGAGTCTAAGAATTAGGAAACAGAAGAAGCTGCCAAGGGAGATCCCGAATTTCCATTCTTGTAAAGAATCAGGTCTCAGCTATAAATATTTCATTAGGAATAATGAAATCAATTGTATATGAAACACATTTTTCAGAAAGAATAGACTCAATGAGCCACTAGAGGTCCCTTTCCACCCGAATAAACATGCTTTACAAAACACATTATGCTTGTCTCACATGGCGACCATTCGACAGGGTCACAAAAAAGCCTAAGCCTTGCACGTTCAAGCTCATCCTAAGGGAAACAGAGTACTTTAAAAAGTATATTCTTAATGAGAATGGATCCTTAGCAATGAAGGCACCTTTATCTCTCTGCAGAATCTGAAACCCATTCATATGCAAAACCAGAAATATTTAGCATGAGTTGAAATGTTCTCCATCACTCTCAAAGGCCAGACTGTGACACTTAGGGAAAGCAACAATTACATGAAAATGTTACAGCCTTTAACGGAATGCACCATACTGCTCTGGAAGCTATCATGCTTGGAGAATAGTAATGCCATGACCCTACTAGAGCTGAGGTGATCTAATGAGAAGTGGATAGGGGACCCTGAAAAAGTCCTATTACTAAGTGCCATCATGTTGTAAACAGCTTTATAATTCAGTGAGAAAAAAACATAATAAGAAATGATGGTTGAGTTGTTATGCCTGACAAGTTCAAAATAGAAAACAGATACAGTATTTTAAGTCAAAGCAGTTACTTATTAGGAAAAAAAAGTAAATGGTACTTTCCTCATTTTTAATATCTTTAGATGAAAGCTGAGTGTCAGCCTGAAGAGGAAGATTTTTGAAAATTCATGTTTTAATCTATACAGCAAAAGAAACTGAGTAAGCTGAGTAAAATACAGTCTACAATTAGCTCTCCAATTAGGTAACAGTCAACATTAATTGTTCTATATTTTGTCTGATAATAACTAAATGTGTTTGCTCATTCCCCAAAGCATTTACTTCCTGCATCACTAGATGTCTTCAGTCATCAACCAGGCTCTGGCATACCCTACCTTTCACAGACACGTGCAAACATAGCATCCTGAACACAACTCCCAGAGAAGGTCAGAGCACAAAGGGAGGATAACCAGACCATTAATTCAGTTGTAGGCTTAAACAGAAAGCTCCTATAGCAAGGACATCCAAAAAGGATTAGTAATTCTTTTAAGAAGTTGTGAAGGTAATTAGGAACCCTTAAAAGCTAAAAACTAAGGAGTTTCATTTTGAATTTAGTGGAAAAAAAATTAGCAGGAAATTTAAAAGTTTGCTTCGTTGAGTAGACCTCCAGGATAATTGTGATTTTTCTACCACCTCACAATGACAATTTTCATTCAGTGCCAAATCAGCTATTTCCTTGCTGTAATGTACTTCAGCTGGCAGTTTATTTTTTTTTTATACCCATTTTGTAAACAGAAATCACACTTACAAAAATCGCCAACAGCATTTTTAAAAGGCTCCCCATTTTTTCCTTCTTTTTTTCACTGTTTTTTCTGCCACATAAACAGAACTCTAATTACATCTGCATTTCTGCCTCTCACTCTTAATGCCTTTCAGTTGCAGATTAACAATTGCTGAAGATGGTGCTCTGATTAGGCTCCTAAAGCAGGTTGACTCAGGATAAGTGATTGCACAATGTTAATCACATCATGTCCGAGAGCACACATTGGTTGTTTCAAGGCAACAGCAAAATTACAGTCAACAAATGAAACATGAACACGTTTCTGCTGCTCTTGTACTGGGACATTGTATGGCAGAGGTAAATCAATAATCAAAATAGCTGTATGAGCAATGTAATATTTTCAGACTAATGTAAAATAAATCAAAATCACCTGTTTTTTGAAGACATTAAAATGTTTTCAAATGTACATTCTTAGTGGAGCAAATTCTTCAAGATTACAAAAAACTGAATGTGATCCTGCCCATAATAATTTATTTTCATACATGGCCTGTGTTATCATAATATATTCTATTCAATTTAACACAAATTTTTTTTTGAAACTTATGTCATAGTATGTAAAATGCCACAGCGCATCATGAAAACAGGTATATCTCAGTCAAGGAATGTCAAATAAAACAAAAGATTGCCTTTTTGAAGAATACTGGGCACATTTCTAGGCATGACGTGCTATGTAGAGTATATGGATACTTGGCATAATCTACAATTGTAAATTCCAATTGCACATTCCTATTCATTGCTGAGAACTCACAGTGCAGGTTTGCACTGTGCTCATTTGAGTTTCACTTAGCTTACCCCTCCAAACTGATGTATACGTATCTATCTATATATGCATATTTGTATATGTATACATGCATACTTCAGGGCAAAAAACCACTATTATGATCATCTTATTATGTTTCTTACATAATACAAAGCATAGGACTTTCCTCAGCATTCATTGCAACTAGGGCAACCACACCTTCAAGTTCAAAGTTATTTCTCCTAGTGATATAAAATGATGAAAAAAAAGAAAGAATATATTAATATATGAGCTTTCTGATGAAATATCTATTGTTTTTTTCATTAGAACTTAGAGGTCCAAGAGAAGATTTTCCTTTTTATTAGTTTCCCAGAGAGCTTATTTTAATATTATCCTAGTACAACTGCAGCTAGACAGCAGTTCTGCAGAGGCAGCAGCACTCCCAGTGAAGCACTGTTTCCTGAGTATATTAGATGAAAAAACTTGCAACCAAATAAGATAAATGGTTTGTTTTTTTCAGCAGTAAGTACCTTGAATTTTAAAGCATCAACAGTGTATACAGAAATCTTTTCATTGGGGAAAATTAAATTGCTTTTTAAAACTTAAAAGACTATTCTTTATTTGCCCGAGAATTCATGTTCATAACTTGAAGACAAAACCATTAAGCTAGAATCAATTCATTTTCAAGAATATCCTGAAAGAGTGAAAATAATAATAGAATGCAACATTGTAACCTAAGATATGTTTTTTAAGCATACATATCACCACAGAAAAAGCTAAAATGAAAAAGCATATTCTGTCTTCTAACAGGGCAGCCTAAAATAACTTACTAGTATTATTTTTATACTTCTTGTTTCATGTATTTCCATAAGTATTTCATTAAATGTCTAATAGCTTTCCAGGTAAAATCAGAGGTTCATCTGAGAGAGATGTATATCTTTATCAATCAAAAATCTCAAACTTCAGTCACAGTTTCAGATCAGCTGACTACTTTCTGATAATGTATTAATGGAATGGAGAGAGCACTTTTGCTAATCAATAGTAGATGTACACTTTAGGATGAGCTAAAGAGCCTTCCAGATGCCACTGACTGTCAACTAGGTCTCTGTTCACAACACTGTGAGATTAGCCACCAGTTCATGTATGCCTACGTTGTATGGATAGCTAAATTTCAGTGTCCGAATATGAAGCTGAATCCCATCCCTTCTTTTCATCTTTTCTCTTAGAAGAAAGATACCATGGAAGATTACAGTGAATTACTCCAACATTACAAGATCTTTCAGTCCTTTTTATCAGATATTAACCCAACTACAAATCTTGTATCATAATTGCCTTTCATCTATCTCTTCTTTGCCTTCTTTCATATATATCTCCACTGTTGTTGCAGAGGAGGTAAAGATACTTTACTCAGATTTGTTTCTAAGAAGCTCAATTTCTGTCTCTCAGCTCCAGAACTTCTGCTTCGCTGGTACTTCCAAAAAGTCAGTGAAAGCTTGCTCTCTTTTTAACTACCTTCTTTCCTCTATCCATTTATATAATAACATCATGTTAAACACCTACTTTATCAGCTATTTCCACAGAACAAAATTATTCCAGAAGCACATACTGAAGAGGAATATCTGGAATATCTATTACCTTTTTATTGTTGCTTATGTGTGATTCTGAGCTTTTCTCAGTTTCCTTTTTGACAGCTTCCTGAAGATCAGAGGCTTGTTGTGCATACGTTAATGCTGCCAGTATCTCATCTTCTAATAATATTACATCTTCATAGGAAATTGGCCATCCCAAATTCTCTAAAGCCTCCAGCAAAGCTTCTTTATGCTGCATGTATTGGACTGGCCCATCCTTTTTAAATCTTAAAAAAAAATAAATAAAAAAAAATATTAATCACAAGTAGGAAAAATTTGAATTTTGTCAGTACTTTATAAATCGAATCACAAAGCTTAAAAGCAGAATAAAACATCGGATTCATCCAATCTATCTTCTGCATACCACAAGTTCTTGTGTTTTATCCAACTACCATTGTGTTTAGTTAAACAATCACATCTGTCTTAACAATATCTCATAGAAAGACGTCTACAGAGCAATTCAAGTGGCAGCGCATAGATATTTGGTGTCATTTCAGATATCCTACAATATGTGAGGCATCAATAAAGAACTTGCAGATATGATTGACAAACTATGGAAACTAAGAAATTTGGCTCTTCTAGAGCAGCAGCTATGGTAAAGTGGAAAGCATCTAGATGCCTGTTAAGTCCTGATTTGCCACATAAGTCTTGACTGAACACATAAAAAAAAAGATACAATCTCCTGCTGTTTATTCCTGTCATTCCTGTACTGTTCAATAGTCACTCAATGATCAGGAGTTTGCTTCCATCTATGGTTCAGGTTATGTCAATGTCCACTGGATTAAAGAGCCATTTTGAACCTACACACTGAAGGTACTTATACATAGAAAGGTGAATTAGACACAGTCATCTTGTTGATAAAACCAAACTAAAAACCCTCAAATCCAGCATAGGTAGAATTCTTTAAATCTCCAATTGGAAGTAACATACTTCTTTTTAGTATTCAAATCATTCCTGTGGCTCTTCTCAACAGCTTTTCCAGCGTTTAAAAAATGTGTACCCTAGACCTGGAGGAAGTATTTAAGTGTCTGTCTTACCAACACATACAACCGTAGTGACGTCCATGATATTGCCCTACTCTTTGTCACTGCACATCTCTCTTCTCTTCTAGGAACCATTTTGTATTGAAATTATACTGACAGGTATCATTGTTTACCTAGATTTTGTTCTCAGAGTCACTTATTCATCTATAATCAATGTCAAGTTAATTTATCTCCTGAGTTGGATCTCTCAACCATTTTGAACACAAACACAATATTATAACTTCTCTAGTAAATCTGAATTTCCCTAGTATTTGAGATAACCTTTTAATACATACTAGTGAATCATATTGCTCCTTAACCAATTCTTTCAGGACTCCTGTGACCAAGTTAGACTTCGTTACCCTCTCACTTCAGATTACTAATGATTTTGAAAGTACATTGTCATCCTTTTGTAATATATGAATGTGATCATTCAAATTGTAAATTTAGAAAAGAAATGGATCAAATATTTCAATCTCTATGCACCAGTATCAACAATTTTAATATACTCCTCTATCAACAGACTGTACAACTGGTAGGTGTTTTTTTTCCTTATATACATAATTGGCCACACATTACCAACAATAAAATATCTTGGATACCACCTTGTCAATTTTCTATACTCTGTAACTCATTGTCAACAGATATCTATTTCTTTTTTTTTAATAATATGCTGTTCTTTTGTTTAATAAACAGCCTTCACTTCCTCTCTGCACTAGAATGGGGTTTTAGTTCTCCTTATTGACAACAGAACTATGCATTTTTTGCTCATTAGCTTAAGTCTTCTTAAAAGCATTCTACTCTTTATTCCCAGTTTCTGCCTAGAATATTTCATGCCAATTCAGTTTTCCTTAATTGATCTTCACTTTATTCTCTGAAGTAAACAGATGCTAACTTCATAGAATCATAGAATCATAGAATGGCTGATGTCAGTCCTGTTTACACAGTCATTAGTTTTTGAAATCAATATATAGAAACAAGCTAGTTAAAGTAGTACAAACTCCCAGTGTGATACACAGTTCCAGCACATGCTGTGAAGGCGCTTATTATATCTTTACAAACCAGCCACTGAAGTGCTCTTTACCAGATGAGAGATTTACCTTGATGCCAAAGGCAATGACGTGCTGCCCTCGCAAGGCCCTGCCACTTGACACTGATTAAGAACAGACCAGCACCATTCAAATGGAATGCAAGTCCTTTCCTTTAAAAATAATCAGCACTGCAAGAAGGAGGTCTAGAATGTAATATTACTCCATTTCACATATACATTTTTGAAAGTGAGGTATAGTTATGGAATATTTGAAAATAAAACCAGTTCGTTACAGAAATAGTGATTAAAATGTATCAAATACTTATGACCAGCCTTTCAGAGGTCAGTTAGAAACCCAAAAGGTAACAGCTTACTTGTCTCTTTCCTCCTGAGATAGTGCTCTCCAAATAATTAGGTTTAGGCGCCTATTAAAGAAAGCAAAGCAATTTTTGAGGGAACGGAATTCCTTATGCATCTGATCATCTCAAAATAAACAGTTTCTTAAGATATCTGCACTGATTTGTATTCCAATAGCAATCCGTATCATCAGATTGTATCCCTCTCATTCAGCTATGAAATTATCCACTGCAAGAGAAGAAGGGAAAACAGCATCTTCCATCAAATAGCAACATGACTATTTCAGGGTCATAGAAGGACTAATGGCAATCACTGCTGCTTCCTGCTAAGATTTTCTATGGATGGTTCTTTTCAGCACCAGCAAGCTAAATCAAATAACAAAACTGATTAAATGACAGTTAAGCTAAGCACAGTTCCTTCAATTAAACAGTTTCAGAAAACTGTAGCCTGAAGACACATGGACAGCAATGCTAATTTTTTTTTTTCTCCTAAGATAACCCTTCAGTTGTGCCATTCATGTTTCTACTTCATTAAACTCTGGCTATAAAGAAAAACTACTGACAGGAAAACAGAAGGAATTATCCCAAAGCAATGCAGTTCTGAGATCTTTTAAAAGCACCACTAAACCTTCTGGTTTTACTTTTTAGACATAAATTATAAACTCTTATTATGTCATCTAGCTTACAGTTTTCTCTATTAACATCTCAAACAATCCAGCCATCACTCAATTACTTCACTTCGTACTATAGAAATAAACCTCTATCGATGATTCTAATTGCTGTAATTCTAGAAAAATTTTCAAACTTCCTTTACAAATACAAGAACAAATTCATTGTTAGGAAAAATTCAGATTGTAACCATTAGACTTCTAACAGTCTTGCCAGATTTACTGGTGCATGTACGAAAAAGGCTCATTAACACCGGATTTTGAATATCAATTTCTTGGTGATTCATTTTATCTACTTGAAACCAAACCCCAGCATTTTTAGAATGCAAATTACTTAGTTCATTCACAATCTGCAGTCTCAGCATGCTCCACTGCCTATTTCAGACTTCTAAATGTGCACACTCATAACTAACTCATTTGTAAAAGCCTCTGGCTATACAAGATCATACATATTCTGAAGCTTTCAGCATTTTTCTCCTTCAATACTGGATATTCTCTTTGTCAGAGCACAAAATCTCTGCCCTCACCACTTTCCTCCCTCTAAATCTGATGCTAAGGTCAATCCACATATGCAGAAGATATTGTCATGCTTGCTTCTGTTCTTGAAACCTGCATGCCCTGATGTATTGTCTCATCTGTAGATGTCAGAATAAATTTGTGCCCAATCACCATTCTCAAAGCTGAACTGCAGTCTTTGCAAAATTCAATTACTGGAAAAGTACTGTGGCATTTAGAGCAAAATACGTTTGTCTGGGTTGCTGTTTCACATGTAGAGGAAAAGCAATGAGAACTCTTTTTTACATTGTCAATTACAAGGATCTTCAGACAGATTTCTCTTCTATACATCTTTTTCACAGAAGTAGGGAACTCAATCCTACTGTTGTAAATACACTGACTTATTGACCTCTATGGGTGAATGTAAGTAAACCATACTTACAAACCTCAAAGTTTTAGGGAGGCTGTGAAAATGCTGTCAGTAGAAGACCATCAGAGTTTAACCAGAAAATACTTTTCTTTCCCTCAAAATTGAAGTCAATAAATGTAAAATATTCAATGGTATGGCACAGCAATGAAAAACTTGAATGTTTTTTCAGAAGTCACCATCAAAAATATACCACTTGAATCATCTATCAAAATGAGTGACAAATCCAGATTTCTAGTTCTTCTTCATCAGCCTGTTAATAACAGTATTGTCTCAGTTACAGAGCACACAAAACCAACAGATTTTTCTTCACTGACTTCCATTAATATTAGACACAGCAAGCAGCATTTGCAAACCATAATTCTTTTTTTTTTTTTACCACAAAAAACGGATACCTTTAGATATAGGAAATAGGAATGAAAAAGAGACCTATTACATGCTTTCAAAAGAACTGGTATGATCATAGAGCTACAGAGAAAAAAAAAACAAACCTTAAAGGGCCTCAGTGGAATTCATCAAAAAACAAAGACAAAACACTTCTCATCAAGGGTTTTTTGATCATATAAAATAATAACATCTGTAAATGTTAATAGAATACAGCCTCAAAAGATATCTCATTTATTAAAACAATTCTAGTCTAAGCTCTCATAAGATTACTGAATGACATTAGTAGTCAAATAATTGCATTGCTTCAAAAAAAAAAAAATGTACAAAGTTAGATCAAGGAAAGAAATAGCTTAGAGATATAACGTCCTTGTCCTGTTTACTTCTGATGAGCTTTTACCAACATTTAGTTAATAAGCACAATGCATATCTTTCTCAAAAAAAATATGTTAAATTGTCAGGATCTTATAAGTGCTTCAGTTACACTCTTGCATCCATGCTCAGGTGCTAGGCAGCTGGCAGCAAAAAGCAGGCCACTAATTTAAATGTCAGTCTATTTAGGAGCTTAATTGTAAGTTAAAAGTCTAGCTACTACTGTATATTTAGGGGGTATTCTTCCTCAGGGAAGATTGCTTTCTGGTTTATTCCCAGAAAGTAAAAAAAAATAAATTATTATCTCCTTGTCTGTTATCTGTTTTTTCATTCTACATGTTTTTCCTTAATTTCTCCTACAGGCTGATGGTGGATTAAAGTGGGTCAATGGGCGGAATTATAAGTATTGAGCAAAGCATGTGTGAGCAAATATCCACTACGTAAGACTGCATCCACTGAAATTAGACTGCAAACATGGTAAATTTCTGGTGAGTAGACTTGCCTTTCATAGGACTTGATCGCTTCTTCCAGCTTCTCTTTATAGGCATCAAGATTCACTGCCTGAGGATTAATTAGCGTGATCCGCTTCTTGTCGTTGCTAACATGGGCCAATGGCAACATCTATTACACAATAAAAGACAAAGACTGCATTTATCGTATAACTTTTCCTTGGCCAGAATAACTGAATGCCCATGAGTCCGTGTCCAAGAATCAAAACAGACAGAAGAAACACTGGAAGGCTGCAGAAAGAAAAATCTGAGCTCCCCAAAGAAATGTCAGAATTAAGACAGAGTTTCCAGCCTGTTAATAAAATCTTCTGAAATGATACAATCTTTTTATGTAGAAATTGCAAATTAAGATTCCTAACTCCTAGTTAATTTTAACTAAATCAGTACTATCAAAAAAGTCACTCTAATAGTGGAAAGATAGGTCAGATAGGTGACAAGCATGTCTCGATCATGACCATATTCCAGACTGCATTGCTTTAAAACAACACTCTCTTATTAGCATCTAATTCTAGCATACAAGTGTCATTGTTACTTATTTAAGTGTATGGAATACTCTTATTCTGGAGGACCATATTTTCTAAGGAATCAAACTACTAGAGATAGAGATATTTTTCACCACCACACTGATCAGCCAAGTCAACACAGTGGATATTGCTCACTGAAACTAGTCTTAATTAACCACAATAATGCTTAGGAACCTAACTAGGTTGGTCAGAATCAGCAATTTCAATACCTTTCAAATCTCATAACACAGCATCTACATAAGTCAACTTAATTATAAAACAGAAAGTCATACACTTACAAGTAGATCTTCAAAAGGCAGAGAAAATGGTAGAAAAGGGTGACAGAAAGGAGGAAAGATTCTTTTCCATCTCTCAGTTCAAAGCCCCACCATCATTCAGCCTCTCAAATTACTCAGCAGTCTGTATAAGAAAAGCTATTTTATATAACATGGCCTGATGATTATTATAAACAGAAAAAATCCAAGAAAGAAATGGAGAAGATGGAGAATGTTACTCTCCCCAAAACTGTCTTCAATACAAAGGGTTGAATGGAAAGATTCTCCAAGTGCCTGTCTGAGATCAGGATATAGATGACAAAGAGATGGATGAGATTCAATTTAAATAAAAACTAAAACCCATGTTGAGGGAATACGGCAAGCACTCAGAAAATAAAACCATAAAGTGACTTCTTTAATTGAGAACATTTTTCAGTGATGTTTTATTTGTGTTTGAGTCATCACAGCCTAGCTGGATTCCAAATTACTGCTGTATGACCATTTTTTCAGGAGCTGTGGTGTGACTTTATGTTTCTCTCTTTTTCTGAAGATGTCTTCCCTCTGTTCAATAAATCTGTGTCACATCAGTGCCAGATCACATCAACTCCTCATGTTAAATTAATCTTAAGATCACTTACAAGCTCAAGTTAATGGGAACATGTCAGTGAAGTATTTTACCAGAGACAGATGAGGTAAATCTCTTCCCAGAACTGTGAGCCATGAAATCTGGCTACTTGTCATTTCCAGGCGGAATCTGAAAGCTCAAAGGCAAAGAACTGAGAGTATACATCTTCTAGTTCCATACTGTTGTCTGTTATGTTACTTAAATCAAGTTTATAAAAGTTTAGCAGGGCTTCACCAGGTAGAAGCCCTCTCCTACATTCCCTTACAAATTCCCAGAGTAACTCCAAGAACAAACAGCATCATTTGCAAAATGAATATTTAATACAGTTTATAGAACTCTTTGAATAGAATATGAGGGGCAAACATAAACACATTATTACAGTATTGAAGAATAAAACCAGAATGGAATGTGTTCTTAGCAAATAATAAACTTGAAATATTATGCATGCTTTGAAAGCAATGAAAACTGCTCACGAAGTCAAATGAAATTTGACAGATTCAGCAGAAAGAAATCACAGGGAAGCTTTTTTAGTGCCAAAATGTTTTGTCATTTTTCTAAATTAAATACTTAAACTTTCCTATCAAAAGAATTCACTTGTTTCAAAATGGCTTTTATTTCAAAACCAAAATTCCAAATTTTTAAAGACAAAACCAAAGCACAACAACCCTAGAAAAATCTTTCTTACTTTAGGCCAAATAAGATGTTTTGGTTGGCTGAATCTGTACTTGATTCTTCTGAGCAAAGCATTGAGTCAAAACTCCTTGACTTGCAAAGCTGTACTTAAGATGCCACAATCTGCAACAGATACTCAGATGGTTCTATAGGGAAGGTTTGCTCCAGGACTACCACAGCATAACTTAGACAAGCCTCCAAACTATTTTTTTTTCTGGATATGAATCTGATGGGTAGTTTGATGAATTAACCTCTTTGAAAGAACTCAGGTGAAACTGACAAGTCACACAGAACTGAAAACAACAGGCCAGTCTCTTGCTAATGAATAGTTGTCATGGAAACCTTCTGCTTGATGCATCTCCAAGGTAGGAAAACTGCTTATAGTTACTCCATCATCACTGCTAACAAAGGCCGAAAATAAAAATTATATTATCCCCAGAAAAGCAAACAGGATGTCTGCATTTCACACCAAGAAAACGAAGATCTCAGAAGGAAGAATGCAAAAATGTCTGTACATTTATTATCATCCATGAAATCTTCTGAAGTACTGGAATAATCAAGATTCTTAATCAATTTGTTAATGTCTCCTATTCAAGCTCTATGTCTAGTCCCAGAACCTATTTTCTGCTTTTCCTTGATATCCTGCCATGAGGCTTGAGGGAGAATGGGTTCCATAGCTTATGAATTCCACTGGCTCCGCCTCGTGTGCAACCCCCAACTTTCTTTTTTCCTTTCTATACCTTGCTTAAGGTCCAGAAAAAAAAAATCCATGCTTCTACACATAGAACAATAATTCTGTGTGTCTCTATACAACTAATGGGAATTAGCAGGTACGAAAAAGTGGTAAAAAATGTTATATTATTTTGTGTTTATATCCCTGACTCTAAAGAAAGCTCATGGATCACTGCTTAGACTCTGTACAGCAGCTGTTCATTCTAAAACACTGAAATTAACTCAGCCCTGAACTAGATTACCATAGGCTCCCATGAACTACCATTAAAAATTACCTGTGTCACTTGCTCAACCATAGCTTTGACTATTTTCAAAGATGATTATGTCTTATAGACTACTGGTTTTGCAAATAGCAGTTCAAATGCAGCTCAGGATTGTCTGGAAAGGATTTGAAGGAGCCTTCATTTAGAAATACGGTAGAAAGAGCTCTACTTTGTAGGTGTGTTCAGAAGAAGATGGGAAAAGAAGTGACTGCTCAGAAATCGGTTGTTAAGAGTTATGTGAAAGTCACAATGTCTTTCGTTTGACATTTCACTTACAGTAGATTGTTTTGCACAGTTTTGTAATCATTGACTATTTGATTTTTTTTGAATGGCTATTTTACATCTGAAATGTTAAAATGATACAAAAAAGCCATCTTTTTATTGCATACCAAAAAAATCTCACACTGAAAAAAAAAAATCCTTAAAGATCTTGGGTTTGACTTGCTTTTACTAAAACAGAGGATCTGGTTTTGCTTTCACAAACTGCATGCTATAGCAAAAATTCCCATTCCTAAATTTAAAAAACAAACATGAAAACTTTAAAATGTACGAATGTGTAGATCTGTTAGAAATATTTTACTTGGGCTCTATATCACATCTATTCCAAAACCCTTGCTTTCCCCTAATTACATAAACACATGCTGGTTAGCTTTTCATTTGAGTATTGTTTAAAGAAACAGGTTTTATTAGCTAAAATGAGCTGCAACATATTCATAGGACTTTCATAGAATGGATCACACAGGAAGAATTAAAGCAATTTGTCACAAAATGGATTTCCTTCAAATGGAATGGCTGTTAGAGCTTCATGTTACACAATTAATTGTGAATTTTTTGCCTCCAGAATCTCACAATTGTCCACAACTATCAGAATTAAATTTTAATTACTGAATTCCAATACTTTTCAAAAGGTCTTAGTGGACACATGTAAACCTTGTGAATGCTCAAATCCACAAACTCTGCACCTGCACAGTGTTCCAAATGACTTTATGGACCTAAAATACATACTCCAGTGAATTAATATGTACCAGTAGAGGCTATGGTGCTCAAGAAATTACTGAACACCTGATGGCTGCACACTGCCATCAACTGGTAATTGTGAAAGAAAAATACATAGTTCTACAACTTAAAGGTAAAGTCTGCAAGAAATACTATTAACTATCAGTTTTATCATCTTACTGATGCATGAATGAACATTCAGATATGTATTATACATTTAGTGCACATCAACCATGTGCAATGAGCACTAGAGAATGCAACTACATTTGTAGAAGTGAATAAAAAAAATCCTTTTGAAAACAGTACCAAGTTTTATGTTCTCTTTGAAACAGCGTAATACTTTTACCTCATCAAATACTTTAGAAACTACATGCTTGTCCAGAACTGGGATGTATTTGGTACCATGAGGGATAGCTGTAGGAGCTAAGGCATCCATGATGGTGAGTCGCCTAGCAACCAAGCCATGAGTCTTTAACCAAACAGCCGAAGGGATATCTAAAGAACTAGAAAAAAAGAGGCTGTAAGATGTAGCATAAGGTAGAAATACTTTTGAGAAGCTTGAAATGACTGAAGAAAAATATAAACTATAATTTTTGACATATGCACACACATACCTTTTAGATGTCCTTTTCACAGCTTTCTGCATTTTCAGATCTAAGATAAAACATTTGCATTTCATTATCTCACAGTTTTTGCACACACAAAAGTATACATAAATAAGCTGACATACAATAGCATAATTTTTTTCATTTGAGCCTACTAGCAGTGTCACAAAGACTACACAATAATGTCTGTTTCATTTGCTATATTACTCAATGAGAACTATGTTTCCTGTGTTTCTTGGTGCCTGATCAATAGTAACAGTGTTACTATATGCCTCATGAGCCCTAATTAATCAATGAGGAAATGTATAAAACAGGTGGGGAATAATTTATTTTAAAAAAAATGAACTTTATTTGTATTTATTTCTTACAACCCAAAAAGAAAGATCAACTAGTTTATTCCCCAATTCAAGATGTGATACCAAGTACTGTCATTAACGAGATGGCCAGGAGTGGCTAATTTAAGGTATATCTCTAGGAAAATCTGTATAAAATGTATATAAAGAACTAAAAATCAGGCACTGAAATGCAAAAATAACAAACAACTTAGAGGAGCTATCATAAAGTTCAGAGCTGCATGAATTACTGAGAGGAATTAAAACTATCTGGATGTATATCCAAGCCCCATTGGAAACACTTTTGTCTCTACATAAGCATCTGTCCCAGAGAGCAGGTTTTCTGCAAGTCTAAGCCTCTTAATGAAGTGCTACCTCCTTTTACGTTGGTATCACAGAATTAGAACCACCACTCTCACCTTCAACCTTAACGTTGAACACAAGTACAAATTACTCTATCACAACAACAATCTATTACTGTATTCTAAGATTCTCAAGCTCTATATAGTCCGTTGATAAGAAGCGACTGTGATATCCTTTCAGCAGTCATAGCTGCATCACAGCTGCCACACACTGCGGACATAACTAAGCTGTTGTAAACCGAAGAGTTTGGGCACTGGCAGGAGTCTGGCTGCAGCTGCAAGGACCTTGCTAAAATACACTCCTGCGTGTCCAGCTCTCTGCATCTCTGCTGCGTTTGATCCTTTGTACTGCAGATCTGCACAGTTTTACCTCAAATGAGGTGCACAAACACAGCAGGAGAAACGTCATCAGCTGCTCCCACCCAGAGCTTCCTGTTCTGCCAACTTGCCTTTGAAAGTGGTTGTACATTTCACGCTCTTTTTGATAGAACAACTCTTTTTTTCAGGAGATGTTCCATCCTCTGAGCTTTCTTCCCGAGATTTCACGCTGTGGCTCAGGATTCGCAGCAGGCTCGTCTTTGTTTGCTCTGCAGGTGTTGAAGGGGAAAGAAAGGAAGAGTTAACTTACTGCTCAAATACATGCCTGGGATTTTTCAGTTCTTCTTTGGTATCCAGTCCCAATTTTTAAGGGACTGCCTACACTAGACCTCAAACACAACATTACTTCAGCACTAATTTGTACTTTGTACTTTCCCAAGGATGAAGACTTCTCTCACATCAGGCAGGTAAGTTTGGGTTCAGACTGCCAGACATAGAACTGTTCAAAGGGAGACACAGTGTTACAGGTGTAGTAAGGAGAAATAGTAGTGTAAGTGGTGCTTTAACTAGTGAAACATAGATCAGCTCTTCATCCTTGCCAATGATGTACCCATTTAGAATAAAAAGAAATAAGGGTTTAATATCTCCTAGGAAAAAACTGCTTGCAGAGCTTTTAAAACATTCTGTCAAAATGGTTACTCTTTCATCATAGGGCCTATGACGAAGCATAAACGAGCAGACGGTTGTCTGTTTGGGTCAAATGAGTAAGATGGCTGAAAAGTAAAAATGAAGAAAAGTGAGTTAGAATTTCAGAAAGATGGTTATTTAAATCATCAGAGGCTTCATTTGTTTCTGCAACAAAGGATGCTTTTTGCTATTTTCAAGAGAATCTTTTCTGGTTAGTGAATGAATTCTGCCAACAACCACAGTTCACATTAGTCTTACCTGCAAACAATGCTTTCTTCCTTTGGGCTGGACTGTCAGCAGTGGTTTGCTGGGTTTGCTGATGTCGTGTCAGTGCTGGCTCTTCTGAAGCACAGCACAGCCTGCTGCTAAGAGTAGTACCCAGCTCCTCAACGTGTTCGGTTACAGAAGACTCAGTATGTGTCTGCTTGTGGCTACTGCTTGTAAGTGACAAAAAGAAAAAACAAGCAAGAAATTACTTCAAACATATAACACTGGTTAAAAAAAAAAAAGCTAAGCTGAAGTCATCTGGTAATTTAAATACTCATTTCAAATGCTTCCAGCAGTGCAAAATATTTTCTCTATTATCCTAGTCTGCATTTCAAAGGGAAGTTCAAAGGAGGTTAAAATATTCTTAGTTTTTTGAGCTATTTAAAAGAAGTTTCTTAGTCTATTTAAAAGATGTTCATTACTTTTAAGGCAACACCCTCATATATTTTTTATAAGGTCAGAATGTTCTGTAATAACCACTTTGAATCTTGGGGGAAGGAATAAACCTATCATCAGCAATGAAAATAACTGACACACACATACAAATATATATGCACATATATATATACACACCCCCCCACATAAATCTGCATCCCAGCATTAATAAAAAATAAAACATGCAAATTCTGAAATAAACGCTTATCTCTATTTTTACACTGGACATCCTATCGGCCCTCCACACGTATGAAATTGTTCCACAGCACTTTTCACTTTTAATTTATTTTACTTTATTTTTAATACTTTTATTTTAACTTACAGTTTTTAATAGATTTCAATCTTAAAAATCTGATTTTTTTTTTTTTTTTAATTTGCTTTTTTGCTTTTGTACTATTACTGCACGGATAAATAATGCACTGGGCAAGCTATTTTTTTAGTAAGGCTGCGCTCCTGTAGAAATTGCAAGCAATTTCATGTTTGTTCCTCAAACAGAAACTCAGTGTAATCAGACATGCAGAAAACTTCTCAACAGTGGCTAAGGAGCCTGCCTTCAGTACACTGTGAAAAGACCTCTTTTTGAACAGTCATTCTTGGCACCATGAGATTTTCAACATGTTTTTCAACTGATGATGAACATGAAAATATTTTTAATGATGCAATAACTTATCTTTTGATAAAAAGTAAGGATAAATATGGCATGAACATACAGACACACACTGTAAAACCAGAAATATGAAAAGAAGTAAGCTGAATTTCATTCATGGTGTTTGCCATCTTATAAACAAATACCTTTGTATGTAATTCATGTTTCAATCAGCATATCCCAATGAGTAGCAATTTAGTCATGAAGTACCAAGCCAGCTCTACCAATAGGACAATAATTTTTCGTGAAATTCGCTAGGTCAGAGGGAACAACTTCACCATGTGCTGGAGACAAAAAAATATTTTCACCGCTTTGCTTTAATTGTTCCTAATGATTTGAGACTATTGAGATATTCGAGATAATTTTGTTTCAGGAATCACAGTATTAGTGTATTTTATCAGAATTTTGTTTTCCATTACTGTAACAGTTTAAACAAAAAAATCAACAACAATCTTTCTTTTAAAAAGAGAATGACGGGTTAAAAATGCAAGACAATGAAAAAGGAGAAATGTAACAGCTCCTATCTCTTATCAGCATAATAGCAGTATGAAGACATACTTATTCTCTAGATCATTTTCCCCATTATAACAATCCATCATCAGACATTTGGCATGAAAGGTCTTCACTTTCTCTAGGTCTGTTTCTCCTTGTTCAATCTCTCTTTTCAAAAGACGTATGTCTTCATTCTAACAAAAAGAAAATCAAATGTTTTATTACAATTACTCCTAAACATGCTTTATTTCTGAACTGAAACTATGAAGCTCTGATAATAATTTTGAATAATGACTCAGGACAGCTGCATAATTTTGTGTACTTTTTCAAGTAGTCTCTCTGTTTCCTAAATCAAATTTTGTTTCATTCACTCTCTGTATGTATGAACAAGCTTATAGAAAATGAGATTAAACTGTGCTTGGCAATACAGCTTTTCAAATTATTCTTCCTTTTTAGGAAAAGGGCAAGCATTCCCTAACAAGCCAGTTACCCCTTGAGATATAAACAGCCATATTTCTGAATCATGTAAGGAGGTCAGTAGCTCCCCCCATTCCAAGCAAGTAAGTAAATAAGTAAATAAATAAAATACAATACAAGATATGTACATCACAGCTGTTGTCCTTCATTTTACAGATTACAGCTGTATCACATACTGTCTCTGAAAAATGGGAAGTAAAAAACATACTCGTCAAGTAAATATTGAAACTAACTGGGAATCATTTGGACTACAGGGGGAAACAGGAAGGAAATTCCAATGACAATCCCTTCACAACTCCCACAGGACCAGAAGTCTGGAGATGGACAACACAGACTCTGGCCCTCATCTTTCCAACATGTGCAGCATCATGCAGTTCAAATCAGCAGCATCACCAAAATTGCCCAGTACACTCTCTGATGCCTTTCAAGAGCTGGAGTATTTTCACATCTTCCTTCTAATTGCTGTCTGCAAAGTTCTAAATTTCCAGCTACTGTCTTATTCCTGATTTTTCTCATTGTTCCACTATCACCATTTCTAAAATTTGGGGAACTAATTAACTGACTGTTAACTTTAGTTTGAAACAAGAATATGCTTTAAACAGGTGTTTCTGTTAGTCTATTCAGAAATTTCCTGTGCGTTTCTTCCAAAGCTGAATTTGGTTTAGATTTTTTTTTTATTTTGGTTTTCAGTTTTTGGGGGTTTTTTTTTGCAACAGTAGGACTACAAATGTGCTTTGCATATTTGGGCTTTTTTGTTGTGGTGTAACAAAATTTCATAAGCAAAAATTGTCACACTCACTGCTTCCACATCACTTCAAATCTGACAGGATTAACACTTTTTTAAATAGCCTACTGTAATATGAAATCACAACAATGTGAGTCCTGTGCTTCCTTCAATAGCACGAAGAAACAAACATATTTATTTTCAGATACTCACAACAATAAACTCCGCAGCATCAGGATCAGTTGAATAAATGTTGTAATAATGAAACCGTCCCTCTGTTTTGGTAGATAGTTCATACAAAAATTTATTAGCTTCTAAATCATCACAATTAAAGGATACAGTATGGATGGGAATTTTACAGTGAAGCTGGACTTGAGCCAAAATTATTTGGGGAGGCTGAAAATCGAAAAATGTATATTAAACATGTGGCATCTAGAAATGTATTTATCAAAATAAGGAGAATTTGTAAGAATTTATATCAGTCATACTGTTACTTAGAGACAGATATAGGTCAGTTAAAAGTATACATTTTATATGGATTGCCATTTCAAAATTATATAAAATGATCTAATTTAAAACTGAATTTGAAACAGTGATAGTGCATTAAGGCATAGGACACTAACAAAATAAATTGCAACATAAATTATAATATAATAAGAACTCTTTGTTTCTGAAGTTTTAAAGAAAGTTATTAAAGTATAGGAAATTAAACAGCTACATCGGTATTTAGTATCACAGGATGCATATAACTGAATATTTTTGGATGTATGTAACTTGATATTTTTATTAAGCTAAATTAGTTCAATGACAAGTTGATTCAATACCAGGAAACAAAATACAGGCTGAGAAAATAGGAAAGCTAATGTTCCTCCTCCAATAAAAAAATAAAATTTAGGTGGGAAAGTTAAAGATCTACCATGTCTACAAACGTTGAAGGATCTGGTAGAAAGAAATTATTGACTCAGTTCTCTAACTTCTGGTAACACTTTAGTTGTTCAGAATACTGTCATAAATCTTGATAAATTTAGCTTTCTGCTAGTATTTGCAATATATTTGTTTGTTGTACTTTAATAGTTAAAAGCAATCTTGGTCATTTCATCTTTTTCAAATAAAAAGTATAATATAAATCATACATGTTAACATTAACTAGGTAAAAAGAAATGAAGTTTTCATTAATTTCCAATTTAATAAAAATATTAAGGTGAACAATCTGAATAAACGTACATTAAGTCAAATTATTCTTCAATAAAATATGAATACATGCTCTTAACTAGCAAAAGTGTGAAAAAATGCAAAGATTTAGATCAGTTGTAAATTGAGTTTTAATGAGTGACAGACAATAACAATCAACTTGTCTTCAGAAAATATCAAAGATTAAAACTAAAATTAAAAACAACATGAAAAGATGTAAGTCAAAGTTTCTCATCTGCTAATTTAAATCAGGTTTACATTTTGATATTGAAGTGACTTTGAAGCATATAAACCCATCCTTCCTCATGGGCCACTTTCCTTTTATCAAGAGAACCAGAACAAAAAGAAAAGTGAGACTTTAGCATTTTTCTTCCTTATCAAGGTACAAAGAAATTATTTCTGCAAGTTTATGATGGTTTCTGAATCCTAGATTTATTATATATGCTTCAGTAATTAATTTTATGTGCCCTTCAGGCCAGCTATTTACCTAAGTCAGAGTTTAGCTTCATATCTGCCATTACAACTAAGGTAAATTTTCAAGGGCAAATAAAGCATTTTTAAAATGCCATTCTCAGCATACCAGTTAGTTTTCACCATGCTTACAGTTTGAAAGCCCAGTTCTATCAAAATTGCATCATTATATCTGATCAACAAGATTTTTCCAGTTTTAGTTGATGATATATAATGTGATATAACATGAAATAGCATCATTTTAAGTCATGGTAACAACACTTTCAAAAATAAAAGCATACTTTTGATTTTGTTATCCACTTAAATCTAAGCTTAAAACAACCTCAGACCGCTGCTGCTCCAGAACTGCACCTACATGTGATCAAATTTGACTCAGTAGGATAAAAATGGAATTCAGTATCATACAGAGACCTAAAGGAACAATATGAATGGTTAACAGTTTTATATGAAAATAATGTAAATTAATAATTAGATCCTTACTCCTCACACATGACATAGCCTTTGTGTATGCTCTGCAACAGAATGGAATAAGGTATCTAGTTATATATTTGGTGTGTTCATTGGGGAAAAATGTTGAACACAAACTTGTTTTTTTTTTTTAATTTGCAATCAATCATTTTCTCTTCAGGTTTTCAAGCCATTACACAAGATTGCGGGGTTTTAACATTTAAATCCAACCATATCACGGGACCACCATTATTTTCTGAATTTTAATTCATGAGATATTTGTACTAAATTAGGGATATATTTTATTTAACACAAATCCTAACATAAAGCTTTAATGTTTAATGAATTACCAGATTTTTAAAACAACTTATGAGAACTGATAACTCATGAGTTATCAAAGATCAAAGATGAGACTGTGGGTGGAGGCTTCTAATCAAAACTCCTTCACAAACAGCACATTTCTTAGATGTAATTTTTCAATATTATGACAACATTCAAAAGACTCAGATCTACAGGTACAATGCTCCTACTTCAGCCTTCTGACACGATCACTGTAGCACCACAGTATTGCATTTTCTGTTTTCTAATTTCAGAAATACCTGGTCAGGTCTCCCATCAGTTAAGAGGTAAATAGCCTGAGCGTCAGTATCAGTAAGAGCCATCTGGAGAGCTTTGAGTGTATTTGTGGAACTTCCAACCTAAGAAACCCAAAAGAAAAAGCCAAAGAAAAAGCTATAAATTTTTGCCTCTGTTCTTAAATTCATAATCACAGTGTACTGATTCAAGGGATATTACAGAACTGAAATGAGTAATAAAATGGTGAAAATATTTATGTCAAATAGCTAGAAAAATCAAAGCAAGTGTCAAAGTAGTATAAATTGGCACCAAATTGGTATTTAGTGCCTAAGCAAACACACATAAGTGAAATGCTGGCAACAGAAATAGGAGTTATAGAAGCAAAAGCAATCACTAAAAGACTACAAAGAGATAGGAAGATATAAGATAAAGGTTATATTTTCCCACTGCTGCTCCTGATTGCCAACTCAACACTCTCCCTTGAAATAGATATTTTACTTAATCAAAAAATTCAAAAACTCCACAAAAGAGTTGCACGAGTTTATTTCTCAAAAATAAGTAGAAGACTCCCTGAACAATATTTTTCCAGGCTATCTCACATCTAGCCCCTTGACACATCAAGGTAAACGTAATTTATTTTTTAGCACAAAAGTTAGGTATAACAACAAAACATACACAGTAAAGCAATACTGTGCCCCCTAAAAATTCATATTTGAGTAATACTAGCACTTTTTCGGTGTCATTCACATACCTAGTGATCATGATCAGTCTTTTTTCTTTTTAGACTAAATGCAACTCTAGACTCACCAAAATGCATTTTGTGGCTTACAGGAATCTAAAAACTACAGTTTACATCTTCAGATTTCCACCTTTCAAAAATTCAGTGTACAAAACCTTCCAAATTTAAGGGAAAAGTAAGGTTTTATCAGCATGGAAAACTGTTTTATCGAGTCTTAGTCTTTAATGGGGCCAAAGCAAAATCCCTGAAAAGATACGAGCCTGTTTTATGCTAGTATAACACCTGAGTACCACTCTGGAGGGCAGTGCAGATTACAGAGGTGTAAGTCAAGAGATAGCATTATTTCTTCAGTTAACTGTGTTAAAACTTCTTCCAGTCCATCCCTCCAGCAAACAGTTCTATTAGAAAGGGCAGAGTAAGTAAATCAGGTGAAATGGAATAGGAGGTACCCTCTGAGAGTGACTCTGTATGGCTGCAGAAGAACATATAGGCCAGGCAACAAGATAGCTCAGGTGCTTTATAATTCTATCTTCTAATACACAATCCTTGCCAGTACTCACTCATAAGAAATAACTAGCCTGAGCCATTTTCTTTGTGTTAAATATATCTAAAATTCCAAATGTTCTAGTAAGAATTCTGAAGTTTTAGGCACACATCCCTCGTTATTATGTGCAGATTGGCCATCTTGGCTCTTTTCAATAATGGTACATGGTTTTGATCTGATTTGAAACAAAACAACTTCTTCCACTACATCATTGGAAAATACTGTGGATGCTGATGATGTGAGGGAAATAACTATGTACCCTATGGTAAAAGGTTTTAATTTTAGATTTCTCAGTTGCTGTTGTTACAAATGGACACTTCTAATCAGTGTTTAAACAAAGCTGACATGCTTCAACTACCTAAATTTTAAATGTTATCACTTCTAAAGGATTTTTAAGGAACAGTTAGTTACTGTTCATAGCTCAGCTTCCTTATTCAACATCCTGGGACCAAAGTGTACAAAATGAGATCAAAGGATCTACTCTGATTAATGTTCCAGATCAATCTTCTGCTCTTTTCGGCTTCACTGTAAAGCCAGCTTTCTGATCTCAGACTTACATCTGCACTGCTTTAAATAGACTAAATGGTCAACAGCAGATGCCATCCCCGAAAAAAAAAGTAGATTGCTCTTCTACCATTCCCTGTACCATTTCAGATATCTAGATCTGAACTTAAAAGGAAATTTGTAATCAACAATTCACAACTTCATGAATAATGACGAAAAAGGTCATTCCCAAATGCATATACAAGATGGTATCAAACTATAGTAGTTCAAAGTATTCTCGAACTTGCATGATGCTGTACCACATATATGGCTTAAACAAAGCTAACTTTTCAAGTCTCAAAGTAAGTAGTAAAATTAAGTTTACTAACCACAGTTATAAATATTCATCAACCACTCAGTGAGATCACGCTAATACTTTGTTTTCTCCATGTCTTTGCCTGTTGGTGCTTCCTGAGAATACCAAGTTACTTATGTTGCTTTGCAGTCCCAGAAGTGTTATGTAACTTTGCCAATTCTCTCATCCCCAGGAATTTAATGATTAAGTCTGAGGAAGAGCTGTCATAATGCTGAGGAGTTTTGTTATATAAACTTTTTTTGTGTGTGTTAGAAAACATAACATGGGATATATCTGTACTGTTATATGACTGATTTGCAGTCCTGTGCTCATAACATTGCTGTCCACATTCGACACATTAACTGGTCCTCAAGCTGCTGACAGTTACCTCTGGTGGCTGATTGTGGCTGACTACAAGAATTTCTACTCTGTTTCAGGGAAAAAACTCAGATTTTGGCCACCGTCAGAGAAAGAATCTTGGGTAGATAGACAGATGTTCGGTCTGAGTATGGTTGCTCTCGTGTCCCTAGGAAGGTTAAAGTCAGCTGTATATCTATGCACTAGAAGAGACTAGAAACGCTCCTCCAGCTCTCTGGCACCAGTTTCCTGCACCACCTCTAAGCTGTAAGCCTGCCAGTGACAGCCCTCATCCATGCAGCAGCCCTGCAGCAAGAGTGACAAATTTAGACACAGGGTCTGAGCACTGTCATGGTTCCTACAGAAATGATATTCGCCAATGTTTGCATTGTGGCTACTAAACACAGCAGGCTGCAAGCTGAATTAATATGATCTTATAAACAGGTCCACTGTTAAAGGATATTTATACCTGACAGATGATATGTTGTACTCAGACCTACTAAAGTCTGTACATCACCTGTATTTTCAGCTTACCCGAGTCAAACACTTAGTCAATCCAAACCCCAGCCATACAGAAAGAGAGACAAACGTAAGTTTGTACAAACATGCATGGTGATAATTAGTTGCCGTGTTACCTCAAGCTCTTTTATCCAAAGCCAAGCGTCTTGCAAATTTTCCTCATTAACTTCAGCAAGCTTCTCTCGCCACGCCTCTGCTTGGGCACTAAATTTCACAAAGTTAAATCTCTTTTTGTGTCTCAATTGTTCCTGCAAGAGACAGCATCTGAATTTTACTCAGTGTTAAAAGAAAGACTACTTGTATCCTGAAATACTGATGAGGAGGGGTTGTTTTAATTAATATATAGTTGATTATATGGTTACAATGATTTATGTAATATGCAGTTACGGTATATAGAGAGACATACAGAGATAGAGACAATTATTGCCTGTAATTATTAAGATTACTTGAACTTCCCAATGTAAGTCTCCATTTACTCCTATTTTTCAAACCACTTGAAGAGTAAATGCTGGAGGGCAAGAAAGAGAGAGACAAAACTGGGTATGAATAGTGATATAAAGAAGAGATGATGACTGCTTACCGAAGGGGACTGAAATCAGAAACAAAGTACGACATCATTTAGAGGAGGAAAACAAGAGTCAAATGTAGCGCACTGGCAAAGAGAACTAGGACAGCAAGAGAGAATTATGCTTAAGAATTTGCTGAAGTTGCTTTTGGACAGAAGTTATAAGGAGGGAAAGATTTGCACAAGCTAGTACAAACTTTCATAGCCTGGAATCTTTGTCTCCCTTTCATCACCATTTTTATGCAGTTGCCGGTGAAACCTTCTGGCACAGTATCTGATCATTTTCTAGTGCTGATCTGCCTAAAGGATCACATCATATTGGGTCCTGTGATCACTTGTGCACTTAGCTCAAAACCTCTCTATTATAGTTTTAAATTTTCTAGCTCTACTAATGATGGCTATCAATGTCCAACTGATGGAATTTTTATTTGTCAGTTACTCCTCTCAGGTCTAAAAAAGTTAAGATTGAACATGTTTTAACAGTGCCTGCTTCTCTCAAATATTAATATAAGCTTACGTGACATCATTGTAGATTTCTAAAACTAGGTATGACAAATCGTCTTAGGTGTGTCTCCCAGTATTCACTGCTTTTGAGGTACTTCTGCACTTTGCAAAGTTCTGAGTCACTGTGAAATGGAAGCAAGTTCAAAATGTTGTACACTCTCTATTGTAAAAGTATGAAAGTGAATGTACAACATAAATTACAAATCACAACATGCCAGTGGAATTGGATGACACTACTTAAAAATACAACTGAAAATGCCAAAAGGTGTTTCATTGCATAGTTTGGTGGTTTGTTTTTTTTTATTTTTAATTTTTTTTAGGAGGGAGGTGGCTTGAGGGAAAGAAGAACTACTTAAGTATTTTCAATTTTTGACATTTTCTCCAGATTTTTTTCATATATCTGTACAAATAAAGAAAAAAATATAAATTTTAAACTGAAAAATGAGCATATCAATAAAAAATATTTTTATGAAGCAGCTATTTTTTTTAATCATTAAAAAAATAAAAAGAAGAAATAAAGTAACAACCATCCAGAAAAGTTCAGTCCACTCTGAAATGATCCTCAGTCTTCAGAATTATCACACTTTCATACCTGTATGAGCTGAAATATTTTCTCCTTCACCAGTGGTAGCTTGTCCTTCATAGACTGGGATGTATCAATAAGAATATAGACACCATCTTCAAACACATTCCCAAAAAGCCCTCTGCTTCCTTGTTGAAGCCACTTAATCCTGAGGGAGGAAAAAAGAAAAAATCAAAACCTGGCCTGTAAGATCTTTAGAGCTTTGTGTATCAGAATCTAACAGGAAAGATCTTTTTATCACTGCTGTACTTC